CAAGAATCATTTGGCCATATATGCTTAATTTTAGGGATTTTAATACATTCTATCTTAAATAATTTTGACTCAAAAAGAAATAAAGGGAAACTAATAATATTCTAGCATAAAGAGTTTATTTTCACATAGCTGTGTTACCCCATTAGAGGAGAATATTTTTCAAATGTGAGTACTGACAAGAAGAGAGGCTTCCTTGCTGAAAGTTTGTAGGTTAATTGACTAATTAGAAGGATTTCAAGGGTCTAAGAAGAAAAGAGGAGGACTTGGAATAAGCCCGTGACATGAAGTTGAAAGCTGAAGACAGAGACAGAATGCAGAAAAAGACATGCCTGGACTTGGCCACTGAAAAGATAAGGAGAGTTAAGACATAGAATTTCTAGTCAGATTTTTAGCATGAAAATAAATAAAACCTTGAAAAATTCAAGGTTTTATTTCCACAGTTTTAAATTCTTTTATATTTAAACTGCAAAGTCCTCAATGAGCTATTTTTCTGATCCATATTCCCAAGTCCCTAGAAGGTGTCTAACTATCAGTCAGAGTCTCATGTCTGCAAGTCTGGCTCTTTAATACTCAGTATGGTCTCTATTTTAAAATACAATGTGACTCAAAGAACAAACCACAGTCATCTGTATCCAGGCAACAGCATTGATAAACACTGCAAATTTCTTTCCTACTTTATAGCTTGAGCTACCTAAGGAATATTCTATTCAGTGTTTCTAGAAATTAACAACTGTAAACAGAGACACTCAACTAGGCCTCCCTTAAAAATGGAGGAAGCAAAGCTATAGTATAGAACCACTGTCATCTTAAATTTCTGACATCCTACATGTCATCTCAAATGTAAACAGTCTGCATTTTTTTTTAACATTCTAATGATATTTGTACGTGGTTGTTTGGTTGTATTATAAGAGACCTAAGTATAAATTGGGTTAACCAATAAACTGCAGGGCTACCGCCTGACAATTTAAATTAGTTCCTTTCACACTTCTTAGGGTCTGCCTATTAGAGAGTTATCTGAGTTCCATATACAACAGTAGCCCAACCCAATACCTTGGTCACAGTAATTATCAGTTACTTACTTTCCCTTTGTCCAATGTACTTTAGGCCTGGTCTTATTTTGCCATTCCGAGAGCCTATGCACCCATGTTCAATTACCTGGTTTCTCTCTAGCACTTGAAACTAACTCTAGTTGCCAGATCATGTAAAGAGAAAATTCAAGCTAAGCCTGCTCAGTGGATGTAATCAACTTAGTAGAACTAGTAGTTTCCTGTAGGAACCACAGATGGAAATGTTTTTTGATAGAATGAGTTTTTAGGTGGGAAGACTGGCATTAAATAAATTCTATTTGAACAAATAGGTGAATGACAATTGTAGTAGATATATGAACCAGTCAAATAATTTTTAGCATAATTGCAATTATGAATTTTGAGAGTTAGCCTTAAGTTTAAAATGACTAATTGTTCAAGTTTTATATCCCTGAGTCAAGTAAATTAAGCAGTTAAAATTTTTTTGGAAAATTTTGTACTTTTTTCTGAAAAGAAAGTTTGTTTTTATAATCATTATTTTTCTACTTTATAAAAATAATAGTGTGTCAACGTGTTATGAAAATAATTAGTCACAGATTCTAGGAGTTTAAAATGAGGATCGAGAAAAGCCGGATTAAGTAGTGACTATCTGTTAAGAATGATTCAAGGGACATTAAAGGAAAAGCCTTCTTCTCCGAAGTAATCATGAAGTGAGGACTCTGTAAAATTGAGTTCCCCCATGAATGGACTATAGTTGAGCATGCCAATGTAAAGTTTCAGCTAGAGTGATCTGAAATGGTTGTGCTGTTAAGGACGTAACAGCTAAGTCAATTTAAAAAGAACTTTAAATTACTACTTCACTAGATACCAAGGTATAAAGAAGGCTGTCAATGTACATCACTTGGGTAATTAGCAAACTGTATCTCTTTTGAGCAGCAATTTATTTAACTTTCCTCATTTTGTCCACTTAACCACAGAATGTTATTTGAATGTACTATCAGTAATCAAAAAATGTATGCAAGTACAGTATATATCTCCTTGCCAGGTCTGAAGACATGTGATTTGATTGGTCAGCTGGCCTTAATAAAGACAGTTGTTGTTAGTTCCTAATATAAAACACAACGTGGTCCTCTAAATTCATGCTAATGATTATTTAGTTTCAGACAGGTGGGATAGATAGATAGATAGATGATGGATAGATGATAGACAGACAGATAGATAGATAGATACAGACAGATAACAACATACACGTGAAAAAACACTAGAATCAGGAGTAAAAGAAATTCAGTACTGAAGGGTAAAAACGGAGCTTGACTGAATACTCCTGGACATTTTGAGGCTACAAAACAATAGCTTCTACCCAATGATTTACTCTATTTTCCATGCTGTGGTTTAATAACAAGTTTTTTGAATTGAACTGATTTTGTTTAAAACTTTTTCTTGAATATATTACAAAGCTTCTTTAGACTATATATAGAGTAGAAGTTACTCCTCAGAGACAATATGTTTTAACAGTACTGTTACAGAAACACAAAGCTATTTGACTGAAGAGTGCATCTGTAACTGGGATTATACAGGGGATACGATTTAGTTAATGTAGAAATAATTGGCTAATTACCATGGTTCCCTACATGCTACACATTGAATGATGATTATTTTATGAGTAAGTCAATTCCGTATGAACATAAAGATTTATTTGAATGTAACTGGAGTAATTCAATATTATTTTGAGAGGAGTTAAATATGAATCCTCATTTTGCACTGAGGGACATAAACTATATTCAGAAACCAAAGTTTTTCTGAATATATTAATGATATAGAGTTATAGGTAATAAATTATGAGGTTGGCGTTAAGGATATTGCAGTTTTTGCAATTACTTTTAAATGGCAAAAAAACGCAATACTTTTGCACCAACCTAGTAACAAGAGTATTATGTTCTTATTCTTTCACTCACCCTCTCTCTCTCTGTTTCTCCCTCTCTCTCTCTGTCTCACACACAGCCCTCCTTTTTCCTTCAAGAATTTTTTCTATCTAATGTACAGTGATCCTTCCATAATATTGTTTTCAGAGTTCATGCCAATAGTCTGTCTTTGTAGACCAAAACATTTGTAAGACAATCTTTCAGAAATTTAGAGTAATGGTTCTGTCTTATATCGAAGTTCATGTAATAGCAAACAGAGTTAAAAGTGTTCCCTGCCATGCTTCTGTTTTGTATTTTATTACCCTTTAATTTATACGAATATTGAGTATTTGAAAATGCTTTTAAGAAGACACCATGAAAATTTCCTTAAATTATTATGCAAATGCAATAAAAGAGAAGGGTATTAACAGAAAAATTTGTTTACTTGAACTGTATTTATTTAAACATTAATATCAAGGAAAGTTAACATTTTCAGGATCACACACATACACACACACACACACACACACAATGAATTAGATACTGCAGTTTTATTTCTTGAAATATTTGATCTTGTAGGAAAAAAAGAATTAAGCACTTTCATTTCTTCAAATTTTTCAAAATTATTCAGGAGTATTTGTCTTCATCTATTCCTTTCTACAATGATCCTAAAGAATTTCTTGTCCATGTGTTCAGTTTGGTTATGGATTTATTTGCTACCCTGATAGGTAGTGTTATTATGGTTTTCATTTCATAAATGTAATCTATGTCCTAGCTTACTTTATAAAGAGATGTATTTCAAATTGAATAAAATAATTTTTACCACAAGCATTGACCTATTATGTTGTTTCTATCCTAAGTCTCCAATAAGATAACTAATTTTTTAAAATTACTTCTATAAACTTGTTGAAATTAGAAATTATATCCCTGAATATAATCAATTTATATCTAATAGGACTCTAAATATTCTCTACATAATATAAAATAGTCCATAAGATGGAGTATTTTATGAAACACTTTCTACATTTTCATTTATACTAAATGAAAAAATATATTAGAGAACAGATGTTTGTTTAACAAGTTATAATGAACACACTATAAAAACTACTAAGTCAGCTAAATGAGTGAATATGTTTAAGATATTGCTACAGTAATATGTTTGACTCTCCCTTCTACAACTTTCAAATGTAAAACAATTACTCGGATCTTAATGCCACAATATTTTTTCTGTCCTTCTTTTTTTTTCAATTGCCCTTGCCATTCTGTCAGTGCAGATCCTTAAACTTTCTCCTCTGCCGCCGTTTTCTCTCCTCCTCATTTTCAGATTTACCACATTTTCCTACGCATTTTCAGGCTTACTATAAAGCAGAGCTTTGAGCATTTCAGAAATATGTGTCTGAACTTTTCAAAAAACCTCAATTATTCTACACCATTTGCTAATTGAGAAGCTCCCCTCAGTTTGGCATTTAAAGTAGTGTTAAATGTGGTTTCCAGTCACCCTTGGCACAGTAATTCTTTCTTAATCATTGATAAAAAATGTACATGTTCATGTGCCTGAAGAGTTGTATATAATTTTATGGAGTTTACAGAACCTTTCTCTACAGGTCTTAGAGAAATACCTGCCTGCTGTACACATTTCCATCCTGCCACTCTGCCCCAAGCACCTAATATTCCAACCATGTTTGATGACAAGCAACTTGAGGGCAGACATGGCGTTTTCTGCAAAATGCACATTCACATAAGCCCCACGATACTATCCAAATGTCTCCACCGAGTAACTTGACCCCTAGGATGTCTTTCCTGAGGTTTTCAGAATGTTTGCATTCCCTTTATCTGCCCCAGTTATCTGTTACCTGGAAAAGTTGGGAGGCATTTGGGGAAGATAAATGTCATTTTTCAGATTTCACCCACTATTATTTTTGCTAAAGTAAGTTCTTTTTTTACTTGGAAAATAATTTTTACTAATGAACTTGGACTGTGCTTACCTTGATTAATACAGGCATCATTTATTTAAATTTGATGTCTATTTGATTCATGTCAGCTCAAAAGTGTTTTCTAAATTTATATTTTTCAGGTTTCTTGAGTACAGGGGATCAGGCTGCAAAAGGGAACTATGGACTTCTTGATCTCATACAAGCTTTAAGATGGACTAGTGAAAACATTGGATTCTTTGGTGGTGACCCCTTAAGAATCACTGTTTTTGGATCTGGTGCTGGGGGTTCATGTGTCAATCTGCTGACTTTATCCCATTATTCTGAAGGTAACCGTTGGAGCAATTCAACCAAAGGTATTATGCAGGTTGCAAATTTTGACAATTTTGGTGTCTGCATGCCACCACCATCAGTAGTATGTGATGCTCTGTATATTTCTCTGTTCAAACTGAGTGTTAGATTGAACTCAATAACTGTTTAAAGCTTTGTTTCTTCAGCTTTTCTGTGCATGTTTAAATTTTCGTCAAACTCTTCTCTTTGTCTCCTGTGGAGCTTGGTAAGGATGCCCTTTCAAGCACACTTCAGAATAGTCAGCATTACAGTCATTCTTCTTTCCTTCAGAGGGTGATTTGAGGAAAAATCAGACAAAGACGTTCTACAGTTCTGTCATCTTTTTTTATTCAGTGATCAAAATCAAAGATGAGCCTTTTTAAATGCAGGAATTGTATATAATCTGTTTTCAAGACAATAGACATTTAAACCCTTTATTAGTATGACACGGTCCTAAGCTAGTTTGTCTGAAAACATGTGATTTCACTTGTTGTCTGAGTACAGAATGGATTGTTGATTATTTTGCATGCATGATCCAAAATTGTCAAAGCATCAAGGTCACTGGTAGAGCTTTTGATTCAAAAGAAAAATACATTTAATTTAGTGTTTTTTCCATTTTTAACTCCAAAAGCATTATTTTTCCCCCTAAACTTGGCAAGGCAGCATGGCGTGTTGAGGCTGCTGAAATCCATGAAATATTTTTCTGATTTCTGTTTTCTGGCTTTGACATATTTTTCCCAAAGTGCCTGTCCAAGGCTTACCATGTTGTTCTTTAGGAGCTCCATCTCCATTTTACTATGCGTTTAATCACTGATTCCAACTGATTCCAAATTAATTTGAAATTTCACAAGAGTATTGTTGAAGAAATTTGCAAAGCAACTACTTTTTCTGCATTATTTATGTAAAACAGGAAGACAGAGAATATATAAAAAATAGACCAGGTTTTAATTTCTGATTGTTTTATTGTCATTGTATACACATGAAGAAAATATATACTGTCAAGTATAATTCATGCAGCATCTTTATTTGTAAGGTTGAGTTTTGTGATAGGAGCACCAGGCATATGACATTTTATTTTGGTATCAAAAACACATGAATGTTTAATTTCAAAAGGTCAGCCAGTCATTAAATGAGTATATATATATATATATATATATATATATATATATATATATATAAACAGTTACCACTGTTGAGTAACCGTTTACCACCTCAACCATCAGTTGAAGACAAGCAGTCCTAGGTAAACTAACTGACTCACCTCTGAACTAACTGACTCACCTCTGAACTAACTGACTGACTCACCTCTGAACTAACTGACTCACCTCTGAACTAACTGACTCACCTCTGAACTAACTAACTGACTCACCTCTGAACTAACTAACTGACTCACTTCTGAACTAACTGACTCACCTCTGAACTAACTGACTCACTAACTCATAGTTTAATTTATTAAACTATGTTAATAAATTAAGTCTATATATGATTCTCCTACATATATATATATTAATAAATCATATATAGACTTAATTTATTAACATAGTTTATATAGCATTTCATTTATATTAGTACAATTCTGATTCAAGATGACAAAATAACACAGGTGAACATTTCCAAGAGAGATTTCATCTGTAAAGAAATGGCTTATTTTGAAATAATAAACAGCATTTCTTTAATTAAACGATTAGGTTGTTCTAACCTCAGTATTTTACTAATGCCACTATGTAGTTATGGCAACATTAAGCCACCTATATGGATTTCTCAGGGTCCTTTGACCAAAAATTGACATCAAAACCAATTTTGGCTAGTATCAAACTAGCACTGGTTTCAGAGGTGAGTCAGTTAGTTCAGAGGTGTGTCAGTTAGTTCAGAGGTGAGTCAGTTAGTTCAGAGGTGAGTCAGTTTGTTAGTTCAGAGGTGAGTCAGTTAGTTAGTTCAGAGGTGAGTCAGTTAGTTCAGAGATGAGTCAGTTAGTTCAGAGGTGAGTCAATTAGTTCAGAGGTGTGTCAGTTAGTTCAGAGGTGAGTCAGTTAGTCAGAGGTGAGTCAGTTAGTTCAGAGGTGAGTCAGTTAGTTTACCTAGGACTGCTGGTCTCCAACTGATGGTTGAAGTGGTAAACGGTTACTCAACAGTTGTAAATGGTTACTCAAACAATTGAAAATACAGCATTTTCTTATATACTTCAGGAAATCTGTATATAAGAAAAAGACATGAACTTAGGTTTGGCCTAAACCAGTCTCCAGACTGAGCTGCCTGACTTTACCAGGCGATGCTCAAAAGAGCTTTCGAAATCATCACGCTGATTCTGCCTCCAAGTGTAGACATAGACTTTAAAGGCAATAAACTCCACAAAGGGCTGCACCAGCGCTCAGGCTTGACCATGAGTCAACCCCATCTTGCAACCACATAAGAAGCACTTGCACTAATGATAAAATATATGGTGTTACCAATACCATCTTGGTGGCATATTTTAGGATATACTGAACATGATGTGCCTTTCCTTCGAAATCTTTATAGATATATTTAGTTAATGTCATTGAGTCCCTGAAATGGGAAAGAATATTATAGAAATCACCAGGGTTTTTTTAGTTATACAATTTTTATTTAATACAATATTTTCCTGAGCAAATGTGGCTAATCGCTACACAGTTTTTTGGGGTGTTTTTTTTTTTTGTATTTTTTGAGACAGAGTCTTGCTCTGTCACCAGGCACCAGGCTGGAGTGCAGTGGTGCCATCTCGGTTCACTGCAACCTCCGCCTCCCAGGTTCAAGCAATTCTCCTGCCTCAGCCTCCTGAGTAGCTGGGATTACAGGCACATGCCACCACGCTCAGCTAATTATTTTTGTATTTTTAGTAGAGACGGGGTTTCACCATGTTGGCCAGGATGGCCTCGATCCCTTGACCTCGTGATCCGCCCTCCTTGGCCTCCCAAAATGCTGGGATTACAGGCATGAGCCACCGCGCCCAGCCACAGTTTTTTAAATTATCTGTATTTGTATCATTTGCTCTTTCATACTTTGTTCTAGTAAACTTAAAAAAGCTTATAAAGATGTCAGAAAACCAAAACAAATTTACATTAATATTGTCAAAATTTTTTATTACCTTTAGAATTATATGGGAACATGTTACAGACATGTTGAATATATAGGCATATTTGGTTAAAAAAAAAATCTCAAACTTTCCTTCTAATTCAGACACTGCTTCAACACCTTTGTGAAAAGAGTTTTTATCTCATTAACACATATGGATAATTAAGCAAGTGTTTAAATAATTGAAGCACAAAGCTATATTTGGAAATTGATAATGCATTTCAATATTTAAAAGAAAACAGATAAACTATAGTTTTAAAATAGGAATTTTATTAGAAAAATACCTTAATGAGAAGGTAAGATAAAGTGCATTTGTAAATTTGAATGACATGCAGCTCTTACCAAACTGCATAGGGAACCATCATTTACAATTCTTAAATGCAAGTAAGTGAAAAGCAGTGAGCCATGTGCTTTTCATCTTTTGTGATAAAGGTGGTAGTGTACATTCAACAGTGGCAAAAGTTAAATCACCCCACACTAAATGTTTTGGCTGATGGTGTTTACTTTAACCTAGTGAAAACACTTCAAATGTTATGTCTGCTTCTGAAAGATGAATATTCAGCATACTATGTCTGACATGAAGATCTGGAAAGAGTATGTCTAAAGTGATATTCTGTTTTGTGTGAGTTGAGGGCCATCCCCAGGGTATAAACAAACAGCCAGCTCAAGTCATTGTGTGAGTCTTTAAAAATTCGTTTTCAAATAATATCTAGTTAAAACAAATACATAGAACTATTTCGAAGGAAGATAGACACAGCCAAACTGGAGGAAATATTCCAAGTGGACAATGCTGGAGAATTAAATAGGACAAGATTGGTCCCATCTGGTTAATGTTGATGATAATATAAGTATTTATACACTCAGTGAACAACGTGTTTGAGACTTTTTACCACTACATCTTCTCCTTTTCTTCTTTCCTCCTACCTCTTTGAAACTCTGCAGTTTAGGCTTCTTGATCCCTAAGGCAGGTGCCACTCAAAGCACAAGACTTAGATCCACCTCTCTCATGCTTTGTACCCTGTGGATGGCTTTGTGTCCTTCCCTTAAGCAAAAATGTCTCTACCTCCCTGTTTCTTGAGTTATATCTAGGTTTTTATATACATGTCTAAAATATCAGATGTTACTGTTTTACCACAACATTACTCAAAGATCATCTGAAATTCTTTGTTGATTTTCCCATAGGACTTTTTCAACGAGCAATAGCTCAAAGTGGAACAGCCCTTTCCAGCTGGGCGGTTAGTTTTCAACCTGCAAAATATGCTAGAATGTTGGCCACAAAAGTTGGTTGCAATGTTTCAGATACAGTAGAGTTAGTGGAATGCCTCCAGAAGAAGCCTTACAAAGAACTTGTTGACCAAGATATTCAACCAGCTAGATACCACATAGCCTTTGGACCTGTGATTGATGGTGATGTAATACCAGACGACCCTCAGATATTGATGGAGCAAGGAGAGTTTCTCAACTATGATATAATGTTAGGAGTGAACCAAGGGGAAGGGTTAAAATTTGTTGAAAATATAGTAGATAGCGATGATGGTATATCAGCTAGCGATTTTGACTTTGCTGTTTCAAATTTTGTTGATAATTTATATGGATACCCTGAAGGCAAAGATGTTTTGAGAGAAACCATTAAGTTCATGTATACTGACTGGGCTGACCGTCATAACCCCGAAACCAGAAGAAAGACATTGTTGGCTTTGTTTACGGACCATCAGTGGGTGGCACCAGCTGTAGCCACAGCAGATCTTCACTCAAACTTTGGTTCACCTACGTACTTCTATGCCTTTTACCATCATTGCCAAACAGATCAGGTTCCAGCTTGGGCTGATGCAGCCCACGGAGACGAGGTTCCCTACGTACTGGGAATCCCCATGATTGGCCCGACAGAGTTATTTCCTTGCAATTTCTCCAAAAACGATGTGATGCTGAGTGCAGTTGTAATGACATACTGGACAAATTTTGCTAAAACTGGGTATGTACCTAAGGAATTAAGTTAATAAAAATGTTATCCTAACTACTTAAAAATAATAGATATTTGTGCCCAAATAATTTAATATCAGATTAATACCAGCAACATATTAAATTCCTTTATTCAAAATTAATTCTATATTATGGTGTTTTTAAAAGTCATTGCTTTATTATTTCTGGTGTTTTAGAAGCTTGTTAAGAAAGTAGATATGTGAATTGCGTTACTTAATTACATCTGCTTTTGGTTTTTGAATTACACAGGGCTTACTGCTCAGCGGTAACAAGAATTATTTTACAGTGTTTTCTAATTCACAACACTCTTTAATCCTTCCAACTATCTTCTGAATCTGGCAAATCAGGTACTATTAATCCCACTTGACAAAAAACAGACCTGAGGCTCTGGGAACTTCATAGAGATGTTGACATGTCTGGTATATAGCAGAGTCTAGTCTCAAATCTTTATCTGCTTGTTTTCAAATCAAAAATCCTTTCCACTGTTCCATGTCATCTCTGCTAGTTTGCCTGTGAAATGAATCATCTGAAAGTGAGTATTTAAATAATTCTTTAAAATCTTTGGATAGATAGTAGCCCATCTCAGCATAGGTAGAGAGAGCAAAGTGTGAGACTTACTTGCCTTACGTTATCACCCATCTAACAATCTGCCTGCTAGAAGATTTATATTTTTAAATTGACCCAAGTTAATGTTAAAACACAATATAAAGCATTGCTGAGTCATCTCTTTAATTATTACATGTTAAAGTGGTGTCGTTTTAAGTAAAAAATAAAATAATTTTATTATCATAATTTATTTTTTCCTTCTTAGTGACCCAAATCAACCAGTCCCTCAAGACACGAAATTCATCCATACCAAACCCAACCGTTTTGAAGAAGTAGCATGGACCAGATATTCCCAGAAAGACCAACTTTATCTCCACATTGGATTAAAACCAAGAGTTAAAGAACATTACAGAGCCAATAAGGTAAACCTCTGGTTGGAGCTGGTACCTCATCTGCATAATCTCAATGACATTTCTCAGTATACCTCTACAACAACTAAAGTGCCATCAACTGACATCACTTTCAGACCTACGAGAAAAAATTCTGTACCTGTCACATCAGCCTTTCCCACTGCCAAGCAGGATGATCCCAAACAACAACCAAGTCCGTTTTCAGTGGATCAGAGGGACTACTCAACAGAGCTGAGTGTCACTATTGCAGTTGGAGCGTCACTGCTGTTTCTGAACATCTTGGCCTTTGCAGCCCTGTACTACAAAAAGGATAAGAGGAGACACGATGTTCACAGGAGATGCAGCCCTCAGCGCACCACTACCAATGATCTAACCCATGCACAAGAAGAGGAAATCATGTCCCTCCAAATGAAGCACACTGATTTGGATCATGAATGTGAGTCCATCCATCCACATGAGGTGGTTCTTCGGACCGCCTGTCCCCCAGATTACACACTAGCTATGAGGAGGTCACCCGATGATGTTCCCTTAATGACACCCAACACCATCACAATGATTCCCAACACTATACCAGGGATTCAGCCCTTACACACATTCAATACATTTACTGGAGGACAGAACAATACTCTGCCCCATCCCCACCCCCACCCCCATTCACATTCAACAACCAGGGTATAGCCAGATAAGAGAAACAAACTATTTTTTTGATGGATTGCAGTAAACGATGACTGAAGATTCCTTGGCTTTCAACCTACAAGACTTAACTATTTAAATAAGGAGGAATATTATGTGAATATACATATCAAGAACTTCGGGGGTTTTGAAAAAAATGAATTGTATATATACCAATCAACTTCAAAAACAAATTTCAATTGCTTGAAGCAATTGTTCTGAATGATACTTTTTCATTCACATTCAAGAATTAATTTTTTGAAGATTTAAGTTACATAATGGAATTAGGCATGTGGAACACCAAACAGGAAAGAACTATGTCTGAAACATAAAAAATAAAAATAAAAAAACAACGATGAATATGCACAAGGGACACACCAATGGAATGTCAGATAATTTTCACCCATTTTTATTTGGAGCCGTTTTATTGTGTAGACCATATTTACATATTTGGATAAGTACACAAAGCACCAATGCTGTTAATGGCCTTAGCAAAGGCTTATGCTGAAATTTGCCAGTAAAACAAAGAAGTTTAAAGACTGGCAGGTACAACATTATCACATAAGTGCTGTCAGTATAAAATTGTGGGGATAAAGGAAACGATATTTTTAGCACGATGTGCATGATAATTTATATGCTTGGTGGCTGTGCTGCTGATTAAGCCGTAATTAAAATTCTTCTCATCCCATTGGAGTTTTTAATAGAAGCTTCCTCCATCAATTGGCAGAACCTAAAGAAGATTTTAAGGGGCAAAAGTAATTACAATAAAATAATTCACAGTAGTTTCAATATAGAAGGAATTAGCTATTAAAGGTATTTGAAGAAACTATAGGTATAGTGGTGAATACTCGCTGATATGAATCCCAGAAAAAAATTTCCTGTTTTTAATGTTCTTTTCATTCCCATCTAGATAATGTATAACCCTAATTGGACATGTGGTACAGGATCTATAAATTGTTGTGATTTTTTTTTGTTACTCTGTATTTTGTTCCTTTTGGTAAGGTGAAGTGTGTCCAAAGAGTTACTTGCAACAGTCTTTCATGATATGAGGATGCCCCAGTATTACCACTCTGATTATAGTCCTGAGTTCATTGATTTACTCATGCTGCATGACAAAATGTTTACTAATAACAATTCATTATAAAGTTATGTCCCTCTTTACATCACTTATCTTTCTCACTGAGGTTCATTCACTGGAATTTACTCACGCAATCTCAGTAGAGTACAAAGTAGATGCAGAACCTAGGAGAGTCAACACCTGGAGGATTTTAGTCTTATACATATGTGTGATTTTAAATGAATATTCTAAGACCACAGGAAACTCTTCATCCCCCTGTTGTTTACCAGTAACAGTATATCACAGACCTTTCCAAATGTTTGTATATGTAATCAGATGTACATTTATATTTAAAACAATGAGATGGACTTAAAGAGCACATCCTGATAAATACTTTCTCTCTTACCTGTACTATATTTCTATTAGACTAAAGTTATGTGATTTTTTTTTTACATTTTTTCAGATGACTAGCAATTTTGATAGTTTATAAGATAATGCAAAGAACTTTCTCTGACAAACTAACTGCAGTAACAGAAACCTTTCTTTTCAGTTACTCTTTTTCAAGAATGAAAGCTTATTATACAAAAAAATTGTATACTACTTGATGGAAACAACTTTGTACATCTTGGCCATGTCACTGGTCATTGTGTGAAATAAAGATAATCTGGATAAAGACTATTAGTCCAATGCTAAGAAACATGATCTTTGCTCATTAAAGAGCTAAAATGTTTATTGCTGTTTTGTCTTTCTTTAAAAAAAAAAAAAAGGAAAAGAAAAACAAAGAAACATGACTGTCTCAGAGAGTAATATTTCTAGAGTAGACCAGTCGGGTTTTTGAAGACATACAGGTAGCCTCCATAGAAAACACAACCATGTATTTAAAGGCAAGTCTCATCTAAGATGAAACTCATAAAACTGTAATGTTGTGAATTTAAAAGTTCCATAAATTCATGAAAAAAAGACTAGCTCTGTGTTTTTAAATACCTCTTAGGTACCGATGTTGTAGAAATAAAGTGCCAATTGTTTTCAGCTAGAAACACAAGTTCCAATTCTGGTCATCAAATAAAAGGTCTATTGAAAACAAATTTGCAATATTTTATAGAATGCAACTAACTAGGCTCATAATATGAGGGTGATTAAACTACAATAAAGTAATGAATAGAAAGTTGCCCTGCTAAAAGAATGTAAAAGTGCTGAGCAAGATATTAAACTGACACTAAAAGATAAAAATATATTTCAAGGAATTATTATAATCCCCCTGTCCAATTATTAGCTACCAATGAAATGTAGATATTGCTCCATAATTTAAAAAAAAATCTCCGTTAGAAGCAAAACGTCTTCAAAATTCAAAGTGATCTACATGCAGCATTTGAATGACGTGGTTAGGCTTTTAGACTGTGAACTGCCAACGTACACAAGTAAAAAGAATTGTTTAGCATCTAAAATCTTGTTCAATTGGAACACTGTATTTTACTATGTTGATTAAACAAAACACAAGAACAGAATAGAAATGACAACAAAATAAGATATAAATGAATATTTTCATATGCATTGCTTCATTTGGCAAAACCAAACATTCTATTAAATATCATGTTTTAACAATGGCCATATTTATATCTATCTACCAATTTATTGCTCTGCATTTATCAATCTACCTATATATAGCATAACTATATGCTACCATCATCTTTATATTAATTTAGGAAAATGATTTAGGAAAACAAAGCATAGCCCTATTATCTTCTCTAAATTAAGGTAGAGTAACTTTGTGGAAGATAAAGCAGACTAGATTTAATTGCTGTTCTCAAGTCACTGGATAAAGTCGTTGTGAATGAGTGTTAGTTGTTAGTTTTATAATTGCAGTCTCTAGTTTTCTGAATGAAAAAGAATGTCCCACATTATACAGAACATTAAGAATAGCTTTTAAAGCTGAAACATAATTTTTGTATGCAAGAAACATAAATATTGTTACTCAATTTTAGCCAATATGTTTAAATGTATTTATTTAGATAATTTTCTTTGAAAAACAATGTAAGTCACAAAATTAATATTTTTGGCATTATTTGTTAATTCCGATTTTCCTGCCTCAGATTAAAAATTAGGCAAGGCTACTTATAATTTGTACAAACATTATACCAAAATGAACAGAATTTCATTGTTTTGCTGTTATATAAAATGTTTGCCAAATGTTTCCAACAGATTAATGTTTTAGAGTATGGGGTTAGAAAAACAAAAGTGACAAATTTCATAGTTTTAAATCTCTATTGAACATGTTGACTATGAACAAAATCTAATCTAATACCACAGATATATGACAAAGCTTATCATTAACTTTTTTCAAATTAGAAAATAATTTGCTAAAGCGTTAAAAATGTCCGATTTGGAGACATCTCTCTGGCAGCTTAAAGGAGAAAATCTGAGCATATGTTACTTTATTCCTCATTTCAAATATAGAAGTTGACCAAAATGACGCTTTATTTCAGACTTCCTGATCTGTACATGAAAACAGCAACAATGTTTTTTTAAAAAATTATTAACTGTATGTATAATACTAAAGAGGAAAACAGCACTAACTTTTTTAAAGAAGTGAAGTGCTGAAACTAAATTGTTATAACAACAGTTACTTCACCTCTTAGCATACTCATCCTACACACATATTAATAACAAAAAAAGGATACAAAGAACGTGAGAAATGTGTCCCAGCTTTAAAGACACTCCTAAGTAGAAATTACTGGGATTCGTTTCTTTGGCGAGTTTCACAAAACAGTTTCACAGGATGAAATGATGAGTTAAATTCTTAAGAAGCTGTCAAATATGGTGGTCTTTTGATGTTAGTAATTTTGTTTTCTTCTGTGTTATTGGTTTAAAGTACTGACCTTTTCCTTCTTTCCAGTAATTAGTTGTTACAGACTATCACTTTTTAATGTGAGTGGAAATTAGATAATTTGGTTATACTTGTGAAAACATGCTTCCAAATAAATTCAATTAATGGGCACTTCCCTGCTGAGATTTTGTTATCATTCATTTAATTATCTTGTCAAGCTTTACTGTTACAACAAACGTTTTAGCTTTCTGGTCAATAAACTAAGGGAATTTCTTCAGTAGCCTTATATCTCCCCTGCACTTGATCTGATAGCAACATATCCTTCAAATTTCCATCAGAAGTCTCTAAAGAAATTTTCTACTGACGTGAAACTTTGGTGACCAACTTGATTCTTTTTCTTAAGCATTGTGATTTTATTTTATTCTGGCACTTCGCTGTATATGTGTGTGGGCCAGAAATCAATTTCATTTGATAAGCGTGGAGAATACAGACTGGAATAAACATGTGCAGGGCTTAAGTGCCTTTTCATCCAGAGATTTTATTTATAAAACTTAGCTTTTTTTTTTTTTAATTTTCAGAATCTGATAATTCAATTTAAAGAGTATAATAGGATGACTATATTATAAATTACAAATGGGAAAAGTTTATTTAGACAGTTTTACATTTAATTTGATTTAAAAAATAATATCAGATGGATCTAAATGGCTTCTGGGAAAGATTGAGGTAAATTTTTGAAAGTGACAATTATATAGTCATCTGACTTGATGGTACTTAAGAATAAAAATTCAAATCTCTAACAAACTTTAAAAAGTTTCCAAATAGTAAGTTTAATTTAGAAGAAGTCTGAAGCTATTAGAGCCAATCATATATCGGATAGGTATATATATTTTTCTAGTCAGCTATTACATATACCACATAGTGTATATACTATGTGGTTTATATAACATTTATAATGGCCCATTCAAACTCATATACTTACAAATGACATTGTGTAACTTCCTACCTTTGTACTAATGTAACAGAATTTAGTCTTCTATGAAAGTCAAGCCAAAGTGGTAGCTGTTTGGAGTTGAAATGAATGATAACAATTCAAACTTTAAAGAAATTGGTAAAGATACAGTAACAAAAACTCAGCAGATAAATTTAAAACAAGGGACCATTTTTGAATGCCATTTTCAGAGTTGACATCTAAACTAGAAGGTGTATTTAAAAGGATTTTAGTAGTTTTGATTCATCCTTTCTCTGCACTCATATCATTTAGCAAATTAATGGGACATATGTCATGGTTTTTGTAAAAAAGACCATTGGGTTGTCATGATTCAGTTTGTGTTTGGACATCTTTGGCTTTCATTAAAAACATGTTTATTATCATGAATAAATATTACCATGTTTTCCAAGCTGTGTGGACTATTTTTAAACTCAGAAATAATTTCTTCTCTATTTGTCTCACACAAAAGCATTACTAAGATAAGCGTTTTCTTGCAAACTCTGTACTGCTTACACATCTGCTGACAGTTCTGGCTTAATAGCAACAATGATATTTTATGATGTTTTCACCTCTTGGTGAATGCAGCACAAAAATTTAGAGAATAGATTTGGGGAGTTTGGACACAACTTTTCAAAAAAGAGAGGGAGGAATGTAGGAGAAGGAGAAAGAAAAGAACGGAAAAAAAGGAGGAAGTATCAGAGAAAAAAGGAAGAAAAACTTCTCAGTTTTAAATTGGTGACTTTTTGCATCCAAATGATGTTTTTTGTTATTGTTGTTGTTTTTTGCCAGTTTTTTAAAAAGAAGAGCAAAGGAATTTAAATAAATCCCTTTAAATCATAAATCTATTATTCTTAGAGAACAAGATTAATAATATCTAGGAAGATATCATAAATTTAATCCTGATCCATGTCTTGATCAAATTGCATCACTGGAAACAAACAAAAATAAAATCTATACAGAAATATTTATGGTCTTGTACTATCTAATCAATAATGATCTTGGTAGGAGGACTATGTGAAGTAAGATCTCTCATCTCTATTAAGCCTAAGACAAGAATACAGCAAAGAGGACATCATAGAGTTTCCCCATACGTAGCCTAAAGATAAATGTTTCCAAATGGCTAAGTAAAAGAATCAGCACTGCTTTGCTGGTCTCTGTGGCCACATATGGCTATGGGCACCAAATAAATTAAACAGTTAAAAAACATACTCCAACAATTTCACTTTCCATAAGAGGGTTTTAATGTTTTGTAAAATTTGCTGTGGTTTGATGATTACATTTTCACTGGTTTTACATTTCCTTATGTTTTGCAGGATGTTATTTCTGAGTTCAAAAAAAGTTTCAAATATATTCTGTGAATGTTCATGTGAAAGCAGAATTTTCTAATGGAATGCCACAATTTGAAGTACTGTCTCAATTTTGGAGATTTGATTGACTATCTAGTTAAAACACTTTTATCTCCCCTTAAAATACTCAACTTTGCTCTCAGAGCTGCCTTTCTCTGCACTATAGGGTATCTTCTCACCAGCTACGGTGGCTTCTGTTTCCGTGGCCCATCCTGTTACTGGTTATGACTCCTCCAAGGTGTAAAAGTTGTGCTGACAGTCTTTAAAGGTGATATAACTAACTTGCTAGAAACAATGATGTTTTGTGATATTTTCACCTCTTGGTGAATGCAGGGCAAAAATTTAGAGAATAGATTTGGGGAGCTTGGACACAACTTTTCAGAACTAGTGTCTTGGGAATTGGCATTAATTAAGTGAACATTAATCAAGCAATGTAAGAAATTAGTCATTTCTTCTTTCAATAAATAGTGTCCACTATGTGTCAGGCAACATGACTTATTAACATACAGCTAATGTTGTCAAGTTTAAATTAAGTTCAAACACATGGACTGATTTAGACCACTTTCTGTGCCATACTTTGTAGCAAATCATTGTATAATTCCTTGTTCCGTCTATTTTACATGTCTCAAAATAATAAACAGAAATCAATATTTGTGTTGAATTCTATTTAGCCAGTTCACCAGTTAAGGTATGTGGTGGCCATCATTCCAAATAACAAATACAGCCATACCTGAGTTAGGCAATAGTATACCAATTCAAATTTCATGGAACATGAAATTTCCAGCATAACACTCATCTGATACAGCCCCATAATCTTAATTCTTAATCCTTAATCTTTTGCCACAACTTCAACATGTGATTGTGAAGCCTATCATTGAACACTGCCATGGGTCAATATTCTAAAATAACTGGCTACATTGGACTATTTGGGATATCTTCTTTATATTGATTTATATCTTCTTTATATTGATTTATTGCTCAATTTTTTTCTTTTTATGATCCTACCATCTTCATCACCTGAATTACTCCCAAATATTTAAAGATAGCTTTCATATCTTCCATGAGTTATTATTTTTTCTCAAAGCAAAAAATCCCACTTGCAATGCAAAATATTTCAGTATTTCAGTCTTTTCACAGCTCTGATCACTGTTCTCCAAATTTGCTCCCAAGTCTAAGTTTCTTAGAAAGTTTAATGTCTAGGATTGACCATAATAAACACTTAGGTATAGTTCATTTCTGCCCAATAAAGCCCCACTATCAACTTTCTCATTACACAAACTATTTGTTTTAATATCACTTGCAATAGTATTACTTTATTTGTTGGCCATAGCATACTGATAATTCAGATTGTGATGTACCTTCTATTAAAACTTTAAAAATTCTACATGCACTATTGTTAAGCAAATTCTGCCTTTCTACTGCCCTTGACCATTTGAGTTTTATTGTATGTTCAGGATATTAAGCACTATTAAATTCTACCTCACTAGATATAGCACTACAGCCAATGGAGACCTTTCTATCCATCTCAGTGTAATGAAATCAACAAAGGTGATAAACTTCTATCTTCATCCAAGTCACTAACAAAAAATACCACGCAAAATCAGGTTGAGGGTAAAGCTCCGTAATAATAGCAATAGTGTGTATAGTACTGAGAAAAGCAACAGGTAACAATTACTAAGCATTTTTTATGTTCCAGGCTCTGCATCACATGCCATAACGAACTCCTACGTACCACCCTCAAAATATCTATTAATACTTGTTGATGTGCTTGTTCACTAATTCATCGTTTAAAAGATTGTTATTAAGAATCTATTACGTATGATTTACTGAGCTCCTTGCTAGTGATAGAAAAGGGAAGAAAATGTAGCCCCTGCTCGTATCTTGCTAGCAGCCAACTGATTACTCTTGCTCTTGTCCATACACACAGCACAAAGGACACTAGCAGATATATTTACAGGATCTATTTTTTTCCACGTAAAAAATTTGCATGACATCACAGTCATCCTTAGTAAGAAAACTGGGATGAATACTCTAAACCTTCTATTTGGGAATTTCTGGGTTCCTGGAGCGTTGTATTAAATGTTATAAGATAATCACAGAAAAATAATTCTCACACCAATCACCTGTCATAATTAAGATGTGGATTTAGGCCAGTCAAGTGTAGTCAAGTGGGATTCCTTATATGAAAAAGTAATACATGCATAAGATAAAGCAAAATAAAGTGAAAACTAAACATCTCTTACTACAGATTCTAACCCCTTAGTCTTTTTCCCCACAGACATTGACTATTACCAATTTGTATATAAATCTCTACAAATAGGTCATTCATGGGCAAACATGTAAAAGCGTATTGTCTGTGTATGTATGTGGGGGGCATTTTATATATATATATATTCTTTTTTTAATTTATTGGGAAATGTTCCATGTGAGAACACTATATGTCAGCTCTGAGAAGAAAACAGAAGCAACTAAAAATAAGTTTCAAGTTACTCCTTAAATTCAAGGCTATTGTAATTAAAATTTCAACACTGTTTGTTTGTTTGTTTGCAGACTTCATGACAGAAAGGGTCAGGAGTAGCCAAGATTATTTTGAATCGAAAAATTAAGGAGCAAATATTTTGTCTACCATATTTCATTAGTTATTATAAAGCTATTGTAATCAAAAGAGTGTTGCGTCCGTTCAGAGACAGACAGGTGTAGGATAACAGTGAACCCATAAACAGACCTATGAAGGGAAACATGGCATATAAAGTGGCTATACAAGTCAAGAGGAAAGGAGAGATGCTTCAGCTAACAATAGCTATCCCTTCCCACAAGGAAAATATCTCCATGTCATACCACACACAAAAAATCAATTTCAGATAAATTAAAAATATAAACATAAAAGCACATTTTACATGTTTCAGAAAACATAGGAAGATATTGTTATGTCCTTGAAGTAGGGAAAAACTTATTAACAGGGCATAAAACAGTGTAAACAATAAAGAAAAAGACTAGCAAGTTACAATTAAAATCTTAATACATCAAATAACAAGATTTTGTTTTTAATGATGATAAGCAGATACAGTAAATATCTGCAACACGTGTAAGCAATGAAAGACTAATTAATGTGAGAGGATAGAAAACTCCTGTCATTTAAATAAGGAAAGGACAGACTCACAAAGAAAATAGAGCTGATTAAATACTGAGAATAAAAGACATGCCTGTTTCTTCCAGTTGCTAATTCCCACAAGGAATGTTCTCTCGATAAAGAGAGGATTGAAAAATATATAAATTTATCAGAACAAAAAGAATAGAAAAAGAGATAACAGGTAAGAAATTCTAACAAGTTTCTGGGAGACAGAAATTAGATAAACTAAAAAACATTAAGAATATAATACAACCTATAACATAAATCAGAATTAGAAAGTTGAGATGCTTTAATAGATCTCAAGAAAGGATTATAAATAAAAGAAAAATAATTTTAAAATTAAGACTTAATTTTTTAAAATGCAGACTAAAGAATGCTTTAAGATACATAGATGTTCAAAGAGAAATAGCAGTAAATAGTAAAAAGCAGAAAAAAATCTAAAAAGCTTCAACAAGAAAAAAATGGGGGATGTGACCTGAGTGGGAGAGGAAGGGAGAAATAAGAAAAAAAATCAAGCATAAGTGTTAAGAGGCTAGAAAAAGAAGACCCATTATACATGTATATGGAAACTTCAAAAAAGTATACCAAAACAAGCAGACACAACAAATACAGCAAAAGTTATAAGCCAAGGAAACTTTTACATTACAACAGAAAAAGATTTGATGTCACATTTTCAAAAGGCATAATGAGTATCTGAAATAACTGATCAAAAATGACCAACATCAAGACATATGCTAATAAGATTATCGACTATCAAAGAAATAATGTGAGTATTCACATCTAGCTAAAATGACCAAATCTCTTAAAATGAAGACTCTTTCGATATATAATTAGATTGTCATCAAACTTCAGAAACAATGCTTTATGCCAGTAAAAAATAAAGTAACATATGAAAGATAAGAAGTTAGAATGTAAGCAAGTTATTTTTATATT